CCTAGCTCAAATCCAACCCCATTCCATATAGTTATATATCCTTCAACAGGCTACTTCCCCTCTCCCAGCCTCAGTTTCCCCCGCAGATGAGGCGGAAATGGCACATCTTGAGTGGATGGCAATACCTGCCTCCAAAGAAATTCCCAGCAACTAACCATCTTACACACTGGATTACTAAAGGGACATTGTAAACTTTGGATTGTAATGTTGCAAAATAAATCTTCTTTCAGAGCCCCCAAATAAAAATGTCAACGTAATCCAGACTCTCAAAGGCATGTTGAAAACTCAGTCTCAGTGCCTTTCCTTTTACCCTTAGCTACAAAGGGGCGACGGATTCCTACATCGAGAAGGTGATGATCTCGTCCAACGCCGAGGACGCCTTTCTGATCAAAATGCTGCTGAGGCAGACCAGGCGGCCCGAGATTGGGGACAAATTCAGTAGTCGTCACGGGCAGAAAGGTAAATGGTGTCATTTCTTGTTTGTAAAGCTGGATGCAGTCAAGTATTTGGCACATAGCTATTCCATTTTATGCCTTCCCCCCCTTTTAAAAATATATGTTTGAAAGATTATTGTTCTAACAATTATTCTTGTTTAATTTTTCAAAATAACCTATGGATACAAAGAAGCTTTCACCAGAGAAATTCCGGGGTCTTTTAATTCCATTTTTCCACAAAGAATCCTCGCTTTTCTTTTCACTGTATTAAATATGCACATTGTTCGGTGCCCTTGAGTCAGTTCGAGACTCATAGCAACCCTGTGTATAACTGAACCAACCACTGCCTCGTCAGTCACATGGTTACGTTAGAGCCCAGGGTTGCAGCCACTGCCGATCCATCTCTGTCGGGCCTTGCACTTTCCCTGCCCTTTTGCTTTACCAAGTGTGCTGTCCTTTTCCGGGGCCTGGCATCTCCTGGCCACTTGTCCAACGTGTGTGAGATGAAGTCTCACCGCCCTCACTTCCAAGGAGCACTCTGGCTCTTGGCGCTCCATGGGTCTCTCCGTACTCGTCACCGGCACTGTCATTCAAGCACATGGATTTTTATTTGGTCTTCCTTGTTCCGTGTCCAACTTGCACATGTCTGTGAGGCGATTGAACATCGTTTGGCTTGGGTCAGGCTCCCCTTAGTCGTTCAAGTGACATCCTTACTCGTTAGCACTTTAAAGAAGTCTTGTGCACTAGACTTACCCAGGGCAACGCATCTTTGGATTTCTTGACTGGCTGGGAAGATGATAGCCCAGGAACACCCATGGGGCAGTTCTGCTCTGTCACATGGGGTCGCTATGGGTCAGTGGCACCCAAGGACAGTAATAGTATTTTTAGTGTCAGTGCCAGAAGAAACCTCAGAATGTCAGGCCCTGCACATTCAGCAGCCAGTCAAGACCACACAGACAGTTAGTTCATGGCTAAGCTGATATTAGAACTCAGCGTCTGCTGACCCCCATGGCAAAGCTTTATCCATTGCACACACTCGCTCTCTAAATCTTGTTCCTCCACCCAGTCCTGTTGTCACTCTGCTGTTGTCATTTATGGCTCCTGCGGGGTTTTCACCCATTTGTGGTTTGGTTTGGTTTTTCAAGAGTCATTGCACTCTGTCAGTATCGATTGACTCATTATTAGCAGGGTGTCTCCTTCTCTCTTACTTCCAATTTAAAAGTGTTTTACATTTTTTGTGATGAATGAGGTGAAGATGTACCAAGCAGATGATCAGTCTTACATTCACCCACCCTTTGTTTCATTG